CTCCTCCCCCTCCTCCTCCTCCTTCTCCTCCTCCTCCTCCTCCTTCTCCTCCTCCTACTTCATTTACGTCTAGCTTACTGTGACATGTGCAGGTACCCAGAAGAAAAACATGTAGTAACTAAGCAAATAACCCAGTCTTTTTTTAGCTCTACCAGAAAGCATTCCTTTTCTTTTCTTGTTTCTTCTTTTGCATGTGGTTTGATAGTCTGGATGGGTTTATTTAATGTATAAATTTCCATAAATACTGGCACACATGTAGGCAGCTACAAAAGCTCATTATCAGTAATACTCATATGATAAAGAAAATACTTTAAAGTTGAGGCTACCTTAAATCTTGCTTCTTTAGTTACAATTTTTTCTTTAGACATTCCAGTGAGAATTAAACAGCATTTAAGCTTTCGATGAGAAATGAATATTTTGTGGCTTAATCAGAACTGTTAGTTGTGGGTGTCAGCTTCTTCTTCCACCAGCTGCTGGATGAGGGCGATCGGGTGGCATCTAAGTCAGTCATCAATCTCATTATCAGGGGAGGGCATTAAAGGTAGCCTCTCCTCTATTGCTTAGATTGTTAGCGGGTGTCATCTTTGTAGATCGCCAGACATTTCCCTAGTGCCTGATTTCTCTGTAAACCTAAAATGTCTCCCTCTATTATGGTATCTCCATTCTTGTTATCTTCTATTCTTCCCCTGACTTATCCTTACTTCTCCCTCACGTCATCTGCATCTCTCCTCTTCTCCCCTTCTTATTCTCCTAGCTCTCTCCCCCTGTGTATGATTTTCTATGATAAGATGTTGAATATATTATAATTAACTTTGTAAGTTATTGATAGTAAAAATTTGCATGTATATTTGAATGATACCAGAGTCTCACAGTGAAATTACTTCATCAAAAATGTTTTTGTAAGCCATTCACAATTACTGGAATTGGGTTTTTTACATGGCATAACTTTGACATAATGTAGACTTCCGTTCTGCTTCAATATAAATGGAGTTTTATTATATCTGACTCCACAATAAGTGGGTTCCAGAACCATTGACATTTAGGAGAGCTGCAGATCTTAGTGTCTTTGTATATTGTGCATTAGCATGCATTTTTTGGTACTTTCAATTCAGCTTTAAAGAAGTGGCCATTTATTTACATAGTTGTTACATGAGAGAATTCTGTTTAAATTTCATTGCATGATTTCACAATGGCTTGATTTTTTTTCCTTCTGAAACTATTTGAGGATACCTTGTAGCACAGTTGCAATTACTGTACAAAATCATATAAATTGTGAATTGTAATTTTCTTAAAGCCTCTGTAGATCTTAAGATATAATTGTAGTTTCTTCACAATATTCTTTTATTCTATACATTTAAAAATCAAAACGTTTGTAGACAATTAAGTATTATGGGCTTGGGATGTACCTACCTTGGTAGAATAATTGATAAGCATGCACAGAGTCCTGGGTTTGACCTCCAGCAACATGTAACTGTGCATTGTGGTATAAATGTCTTATTCCATTTCAGTAGCTCAATATCAGGCAGGTGATATGACAATCTGTCACATAAAATGTGAAGTATTTTGCTTGCAATCCCCCCTCTCTCTCTCTTTCTCTCTGTCTCTCTCTCTCTCCCCTATTAGGTTGTTTTCCCAAGTTTAAGGGATAGAGCTTACTGAGAATAAAATCTTTCCCTGGATTACATATTTTTGGAATGTATTGTTTAAGATTTTGCTCTGTGGACCAGAAGGAGAAATCTGGGATGAAGGCAGCAACAAAAGAAAAGATAAATGCAACGGTTTTGAATTTGAAATGTTGACGCTAGAATCTCATCCATCCCTAGAAGGTACACCCTTGCCAGTAATCTTTTACATTTCGTTAATTTATTTATTTGGCTTGAAAGAACCTTACAGTGCAGGACCAGCAGGGCCATTTGCCTTGTAATTAGGTTAACACTGTCAGTTCTGGAAACATTGCTTCAAGGGTCTGAGATCGGAGACCAAAGCCCAAGTCCTGTCTACTCAGTCCACTGTGATGGGAGGAGCTTTGCAAATTCATCCAGGTCAATATTACCGGCTAGCACCCTGTGTCAAAATCATACCACAGCCCTCCTCTTTATCCTGGTCTGGAGAGAAAAGGGTCACCAAGTTAGTAGCTCCCTCAAAAGGCAGCTTTCTGTTTCATCAGTATGCCACCCACAGTCTCTGTTCCTCAGAATGTTCTGAGGGAATCTTCTTCATAATTCACAGCAACAGATCGGGTGTAGAGATGCCCTTGATGCAGGTTGTAATAAACATTCTTAATTTCCAACAACATGATTTCTTTTTGCCTCTCTCTCCCTAGCTAGCAATATGTGGGAGCTGAGTTTCCTGCTGAGTTTTTAAGCAGTATTGTCAGGTCAGAAACCAAGCGTATTAACAGGAAGCATGCTATTCTGCATGGAGAAGCCAGAGCATAATAAGCATTGTTAATTTAGTTAAAAGAAAGACAGCTGCTTACGATTACTCTTCTTGTGTATGTGTGGGAGTTAACAGAATAATGTCTCTTTTCCAAATTATGCATGGTTTTCATTTGCTTATATGTGACATTTAATTGAAGGAATTAAGAAGCCGAATGAAATAATGAGCTGTTTGGAAGGAAATCGGGCTATTGTTGCTCACTTAGATGCATGGTTATATAAAGTCCTAGAAACCAGATAATCCCCAAATCTTTCTTTACTGAATGTTGTATTCTGGGTTATAGTTTCCTGTGAAATACATACAAAACCATTCTACTTTCCAAATCAATATTTTTGGTGGCTATTATTTGGAGCCCTAGTCTAGTTAAGGATTTACAGTTGAACCACTGTTGTTTTCTAATATGTGATTTGATAATTGTTTAGATTATATACATCTATGCAGATGTGTATAAAGAGCTTCTTTGCAAAACAAAGTTTATATATTGAGTTCAAACCTCTCATCTCCTTTTTGCTTTTATACTCTTTGACTATTTTTCTTCTCTCTAGTGTGTAGTACCCAGTATGTGCCAGACAGCCTATTCATGTTCTCTCAACTATTCTTGACAGTTCAGAGGACTCAGACTGTTGCAATTATGACTCCACAATAGGATAGGCAGCTCCTCTGAATTGTGGGATACTTAAAAATGTCACAAAGGCACCATTTCTGCTTTAAATGAACCCTTTGTGGCATAGTTTATACCTAATAAAATTTGGGTAAAATGTAAAGGCATATGGTTTTTGACAGCACAATCACTCATGTAACTACCACCCCAATCAAGAAGTAGAACATTTCCATTTTTCCAGTGACCCCCTCCTTGGCCCTTTGCAGTGTCCTCTTCTACTCTCCATATTTGTATCTGATTAAGTTCATTTGTCCTAGAATTTCCAAAACCCAAGCCATCCAATTCTGTATTCCTTAGGATCTTCCTTCTTTGCATAATTTTAAAACTTCTTTTAAAAGGTTATGGTTTATGTTCATCAATATTTGTTCTTTCTAACTTCCTAGGGTTACCTATATACAAATGTACCTTAATTTGAATTTGCTTATTGATGACATATACACACACTAACTGTACTTTTTTTAACTTCTTCAAATAAAGTTGATATTCATAATTATTTTGTAGACATGTTTTCATTTCTCATATTTAGGAGTAAAATTCATGGATTTCATGTCAGATATTGTTTAATCATATAACCAAAGAGAAACATGTTTTTCAAAACCAAGGTATGATAATAATGGAATGTTACATACCTATTGATAGCAATATTTATGGCTGGTAAGGTAACATTTTGGGAATGAATAAAACCATAATTAATATTTTCTTCTATGTTTTGGTCCTGTTTATATAATTTTGAAATGTAACAGTAAAAAAGTTTGTTTTATATGGGAAGATTTTATCTTTTTAAAAGATTGACAAAGCTAACATTTCTTTAAAAGATCTGCTAAGGTTACATGAGACACATAAATAAATGTTATTCTTAAAAGTGTGTGTGTGTGTGTGTGTGTGTGTGTGTGTGTGTGTGTGTGTGTGTGTGTATGGGTAGCAAAGTGTTCAACTGGAGGCCATAGGTCAATATCCAAGACTTGGTTCTCTGTTTCTATTATGTGGTTTCTGAGGATGACAAGCACCTTAACTGCTGAGCCATCTCACTGGTCCAAATAATATATTTTGTTTAATTTCTTTTTATCCATTTTACATGCATTATTCTCCCCGGTTAGGCAATGGAATGATATAAATGTCAGAAAAAAGATCCCCCTAAAATATATTTTGTTTAATTTCTTTTTATCCATTTTACATGCATTATTCCCCCCGGTTAGGCAATGGAATGATATAAATGTCAGAAAAAAGATCCCCCTACTAAATAGGAATGCTTGGAACCAGGTGCTATAAGTAAGAAAAGAAATTTGCAATGTAGATAAAATATGAAAAAGGCATAATTTTCTCCCTCTAGAATTATATTAGTAGAGGCAAAGGAACTGTATCTATATATTGAGGTAAACGCAAGAGCAATGTATATGGAGGGGGTTTTAATAAGGTTATTGAAGTGTTATAGATTCTGAGGGAGAAGAATTTTCATTTCATAGGAATACGGACAGTATTACAAAGGAGATGCAATTTGTACTGAGTCCAACAGACAAGAGAAATGAAGATGGACAGACCAGGAACAAAGCAACTAAGAGTGAAGGAATGGTGAGTAGTGCAGTGTGAACAATGAGACAGACAGAGGAATTGTGTTGAGCCTGTCATGCAAGGAAACAGAATTATCAGTATTAAAATAAAAATCCAAACTTGAATTCAGGCTTATTACTATTCTAGTTTATAAGGAAATCTATCATGAAAGAAAAAACCCTCAAAATCATTTCAAAATTTTTTAATTATGGGTATAGGTGTGTGCATGAGTGGATATTGGGTACATGAATGCATGTACCCAAGAAAGCTAGAAACATGTGTCAGGTCTCCTGGATCTGAAGTTTCAGGTAGTTGTGAGATGCCTAGCTTGGAAGCAGGGAACGCATTCTACCTCCTGCACTATCTCCAGCCCTCAATGTCATTAAAAAATGTTCAATTAATGTGCATTAATTTCATATACTAATGAGGTTCAGTGTGCCTTTTCCCCACTTTATTTTTAACCCCTGAGCCATCTCTCCAGCCATCCCCCCACTTTATTTTTAACTGTGCACATGTTTGTCCATATATACATTCATGTGTCCCTCTAGAAGATGTCACCTGATCCTCCAGAGCTACTTTACAGGTGTTTGTTAGCCCAGTGTGGTTGCTAAGAAATTAGATCCAGTTCTTTGTAAGAACAGTACATGCTTTTAAGCTGAGTTATCTCTTTAGCTCCTAAATATCTTTTCAAAGTTGATAAATTTGGCCAACTATTGATTATTCTAATGATTTATTTGTTTAATATACTTTTTCTTTGTGACATATTTCTATGAAAATAGGTAATTGTACTAGCTTCCTTTGTTTCTTCTTATACCTTTTTATTTGAGATAAATGTCCATGCGAATGTAAGCTGTATTTTCTTTGTGGTTAGATCACTTTCATAATTTGCATTTAGTCACTATTAACTCAAGATTCATTTAAAAACTCTGTGCTTGCATTTTATTGCAATAAAATGGTTAAGCTCCCACATTTCCACTTCTGGGAGTGATTTGTGATATCCTCTACATTATACACTCCACTGTCATAGCAAAAAAATCAGTGTTAAGCTCTCAGCGCAAATTAGAGAGTACTTATTAGCAATAAAATATAGTCAAAATATGTTAGGCATAAACATATTTTGTGTTATGGCACTACTTCAGCCTACAGGTAATCTAAATAAAATGAGGTTATAATTGAGGTTTGTTTACAAGATAAAAGAAGAGTCATCTGTTACATAGAACACACACACACACACACACACACACACACACACACACACACACACCCCACAGCCAAAACTGTCAATATCTTTTGAGAATATATGCAGGTACCATTAAATGCAGCTGTTGCCTTAGACTGTGAGCAGCAAAAGGATTGTAGAGATGTAGAAGCTATAAACTTAAGAGTAAAACTAATGCCTTCATTCATTTTTTTCCCTCAAGGTTGGTAGCTGAAATAATTTCCCAAATAGTTATGGAGTAAAGAAGCTTTTGCTTTTATTTTTAAAATAGTTTTCCATGGCTGGAAGTTTGCTTCTGTGTTACTATTATAAATTAAAAATAAAACAACAAAAACCAAAACCAAAAAAAAAAAACCATGTTTTGGAGATGTTCTTTTAACTTGATCCTCAAATTGTTGGGTAGATGCTATTTAAATAGTATTTAGGTGCATTTGATTTTCCACTTTGGAAAAGTGTACATGTTTATTTGCAGAGTAGAAGCTGAAACAAGCAAGCCAAATGTAAATGAATAAAGAGCAACAAAGAAGCACTACTTACGTTAAGTGCTGACCTGTGTAATTTGAATGTGTAATCCTCTGTAATGTATGTAATACTTCCCTGAAGTTCAACATAGCTCCTGGGCTCAGGACTTCACAGTGCCATCTCAAGCATATCTAATTTTAAAATAACTATGCTCATTTCAAAAGGAGAATTTGCCACAGTCATGTTTTATCTCATGGGCTGTAGTTCTAAAGCATAGCTCATAGGAAAATAGCAAAGCAAGCTTTCATGGATACCTGTGCTTGACCTGTGTGAGGTAAATGGTTCAAATATGTATCACACAGATAATTTTTTTACCTGAGTCTTAAGATGAAGGTTATGCATGTGCTAAAGCTGATAAACAATTGAGCCAGTGTTATCATCCTTCAGTTCACTAGAATTAAATCTGAACATGCTTTAATTTATGTCATCTACATCCTGTTCTTAATTCATTATGGCACTCACTTCTGTTTTCACATTATTTTTGCAAATTTTATTTTTTTAGCAAACATCAAAAATTATAGCCTTCTCTCCAATTTCTTGTTCCAATTTGACCTGGTTGGTCTTTTGTCAGCTTGACATAATCTAGAGTTATTTGGGAAAGGGAACCTCAAATGAGAAAATGCTTCCATTCAGATTAATGCTTCCATACAGACAAATCTGTAGTACATTTTTTAAAATTAATGATTGTTGTGGTGCAGGGCAGGGAACAGTGCCAACCCTGGGCAGGTGGTCCTGAGCTGCATGACAAATCAGCATGACATGCCATGAGGAGCAAGCCACTGAACCATGTTCCTCTATGGCCTCTCCATCAGTTCCTACCTTCAGTTTTTTGTCTTGAGTTCCTGCCTGACATCCCTGGATGATGGATGGATTACAGGAGGAAATAAACCCTTTCCTCCCAAAGTTGCTTTTGGTCATGGTATTTTATCACAGCAATAGAAACCCTAAGACACTATTACCCATCAACAATTTTGAGTAGAAGTCAGAACTTTGAAAACAATGAATAACAGGCCACAGAGTTGATTAAGTAGGTAAAAATGCTTGCTGAGAAGCTTTACCTCTTAGGTTCAGATCCCCAGAACCCAAGTAGAAGCCAGATGTGGTAGCATATATCTGTAATCTCAGCACTCCTGGTGAGATGGGAACTGGAGACAGGCTAATCCCTCTATCCTACAGAAGCCCACGGGATGGCTAGCCTGGGGTATGCAGAGCAGTGGTCTTCACGAATAAATACAGATATGTACCACAGAGAAGTAGGAAGAGAACATACACTACCACCACCATCACCACCAAACCCAATTAACAAACCCCGTGAATAGCTCTGCCAACAGACTTCATTGGTTTTGTTTCTAGATTCTGTTTAATGAAGGAGGTGAGGGAAAGATAGGAGACCATTTACACTTATTTCAGACATTGGTTTCACATGGACCTTCGCCTAAATGCTACTGCTGTTGCTCTGAATTTGGCCACAAGTTGAAAATGAACATACTTTTGCCTCTCTGCAAAAACACTTCCCACAGTGAATATTTCAAACATCATGTTTTGCACAATAAACATGTACAATTTTGTGTATCATTTTAAAAGGAAGAACAAAAAGGGAACAAAACAGAACACTTTGTAAACATTCTTCCCTGACACTGAATAAGACAGAAAGGCTAATGAAAAAAAACCTCATTACCTTCCTTGAAATGCATGCGAATCTATTTTTTCCCTCCTTTAATTGCAACTGTGCTTTGTGGATTGGTCTGTGGTTTTCTTTGAGGACATCAGGGAGTATAGGGCAAGCTCTGAGGAAGGAATTTTCCCCAGAGCACTTCTGATTCTCTTCATACTCATCAGAACAGCATGAAAACTGTCTTCCAATTGTGTAGGGTAAGTACAGCCCACTGAATGTGCTTAACAGCAGTTTACCACAAGCCAGTTATAATGTCAGGAACGCTGGAACCTTTTCATTTCTTTTATATTTGAATAATGATAAATGCCTTCATGCTGTGTGAGAACTATTGAAGTGTGTTTCCCTGCAGGTAAACTTGGCAGTGTCTTATAGAACTCCACTCAATGGGAGTATTACTTAACCAGTGTGAAGTACATTGTCTGACAGGAATTGTATCACAATTTGGAATGATGTTTATGCAAGTAGATAGTCTACCAGTTATTTTATACTTTAAAAATGGACCTCTGAGGCTACAGAAGAAAAAAAACAAAGACCTTATTTAGATGATTGTAGTGAAAACTATAATTGTTCCTTGTGGGAGAACAATAAATTAAGGAATGAGACTTAGGATAAATTCTACAGTTAGGCCCCAGTCTATCATCGATGTTAGATGAGAGATAATATACTTGCTTTGCAGTTCCAAAATAAGATGAGTACTATAACTAAGACATTAGTGTAAAATATCTAAATATAGTTTCCAGTGAAATTGAAATGTGTGCATGCGTGTGTGTGCGTGCGTGCGTGCGTGCGTGCGTGCGTGTGTGCGTGTGTGTGTGTGTGTGTGTGTGTGTGTGTGTGTGTGTGTGTGTGTTTCCCTTAGCTGCTTAGGTATGGCAACTGATGTGCTTCTGAAATTTGTCCACTTGCCTCTGTTGATGAGAGTCTTGCTCTTCATCATCTCAACATTAGTCCAGGTTTGATGGCTTTAGCTGGGCAGCATGTCAGCCTTGTGACTGGAAAGTCCATTTGGGTAATGCAGAATGACAATGGAGAGCAAACATTTTGGTGCCTGCCCAATTTCTCTATTCCTATTCATTGGGTTTGGAGGTACTCGAAAGAGAAAACACTGATGACAAAATAATTATGTTTTGAAGCTCACCAGCTTGCATGAGGTGCCTGGGCTTCTTGTGCTGGTACCTGAGTTGGGTTATATTAGCAGTGTCTCTTGAAATCGCCCTTTGTGATCTGACTGGAATTTCTTTCTTTTTTATTTTTTCACTATGTTTTTATTTAAATTAGAAATAAGATTGTTTTACATGTCAATCCATTTCCCTTTCCCTCCCCTCCTCCCTTGCCTCCCCCCCCACTCTAACTCCCTATCCCAACCCCTTTCTGTTCCCCATGGAGGGTGAGGCCTTCCATGGGTGATCTTCAGAGTCTGTCATACCCTTTGGAGCATCCCCCTTGTGTCTAGACTGAGAGAGTATCCCTCTATGTGAAATGAGCTCCCAAAGTCCATTCATATGCTAGGGATAAGTACTGATCTACTATAAGAGGCCCCATAGATTGCCGAGGCCTCCTCACTGACACTCACTGGGATTTCAAGTCTCCCTCTTCTGATAATGT